GTCCTGTAATTTATAATGCAACAAATTCTCTTTCTACCAAATGATATTATTTTCTGTGATCTTCACTTGGAATGAAAAACCCTTATTAAAAATAACATATAATCACTGTAATTCAAAGATATCTTTTACTATAAACACATAATAACAATAGTAAAAAATGCCTAATCTTTTCAACTAAATCTAATAAAGAAAATAGATGTGCACATATATTTGTTCTATAAATTTAACAAAGGAACAAATGGGTACAAGAATGCATTATTTGATTTTTTTCATGTTAAAAACAGATTGACCTTAGAGTTCCCAAATCCTTAATAAATTCCTGTTTGCACACTAGCCTTTTCCTCTAAGCCTGTTCTTCAAATTCCAAACTCTACTGAGTTAGTACTAGAAATGGAATTCAATTCTCTGTGCAGATCAGTGGTTATAATACCTTTTTTTGCACATAAAGGTGAGTTGGACTATTAGGCATAAAACAGATTTTTTTTTGAAATCTTCTATAATGAAAAAAAAAACAGTTAGATATAAACTTTAAACAATCTACTGTGTTGAGACTGTATTTTTTGGTTGGTAAACTTTTAAAAACAAATGTTCTTTCACCCTGGAAGGAGGGAGGTAAGTGTGATGTTGCAGCCAAGTTATAGGAGGCAAAAGCCTTATTTCCCACCTGCTCCAGAGTGCCAGGTTCCATCCTTGGCATCTTCCTAAGGAACTGACTGTGCTTTCTTTTCTTTTTTTGTTAATTTTATTGAGAAACAAATAACAGTGAGACAGTTTCAAATATGATTAGTAGGACAGTTTCAATAATTACATTGCATATTATTGTTTTTGTAGTGGTTATGCATATTATAAGATACAGACATGATATCTTGCCCAAACACTATTAGTACAAATCTTTCTTCTCATTGAATTAAGAGAAAGTATATCTATCCTGACTATTTTGAATATACAGATATAAAATGATCCTTCATTTGTATCCCTTTTTTGTTTAGTTTTTTCAGAGATGGGGATTCCATTACCATTTAAATATTGTAGGTGCATGACTTCAGCAAAATAATCCAATATAGTCCAGTAGTCCATAGTAGTAGTGCGTCATCCATAGGACTGGCAATGTCAGAAGTTGTTGGCTTGAGGCTTTTACAGCTCAGCATATTAATATGGCTTTACTTGACAGTGCTTTCATATTCAGTTGAGGAAGCTAAAACTAACTCGGTGAGATTAGCAATACTTTGCAAAGCCACTTGGCTAATGCTAAGTGAAGGTGTGGGAAAGTGCAGGTTCACTGTATTTCAACGCCTCTGTGTCCCCTTGAAGCCAGGCTATTCTGATTTGATGCTGCTCCCAACCAGTGTGTTCAGTATCTGCCTCTCTGTCTGGAAAGATTTTGGAAAAATAGAGCTCTGATTTAAATGAAGAGATACTTCTAGCACGTGGACCAACTGTACTTAGTAACTTTACAAACTCTCAGTTGGAGGCATTTGGATTTGAAGGCGAATCTGAAATGTCCTTGGGGTACTGGACCAGATCATAGAGCTGAGAATATGTTTTTAGTCTATCCCTTGAGACTAATTGACCAAAATTTAAGTAGATATGTTTATGGTATGTTTATGACTTTTAGCATGTCCAGCATTATAAGTTGCATTCATATATGTTGAACAATTTGGTTAACCTATAGGTTTGGTAAACTGAGACTAAAATCCTCAATGGAGGATGTGAATTAAGACTTTAATTTTGAATTCAGTAAACAAATGTAAAGGAATCTCTGATTTTAGCAGCATCAATTGAAGCCTAGATACAGAACCAGCTCACTCAGGGTCTCTTGGTTAATGATTATGGGACAAGATTCAAACTCAAGTCTGTCTACATGTGAACCTCATATTTTTCCCGTCTCTTTCTGCTTTGCTAAGTGGATGAAGCTTTGCTGAGGCTTACACAAAAGCCCACACTGTGAAGTGTCTGTTTGCAGTGAGAAATGGAGTCTCAGGTGATCTGACACAGAAGGAAAACATTCAGACTTTTTGTGAGGAATTGGATGCAAAAGAGCTATGCACAGATGTGGGAAAAGGCAAACACTATCTTTGTCTTCAGTCTTTCTACAGCTTCTACCTCTTGGATGATAAGACTGGATCAGCACCTAAGTGATGCTTATGGCTCAGGAGTTGGTTGTTGGAACCAAATAAGCAACTTAATTGCAAGTTCCATGAGTCATGCAATCACCTCAGAGGGTGACAAAACATTAGTTGCACTTGCAGTTATGTGCAGCTTTAGTTAACCTAAGTCTTTACCTGCTCTACGTTAAGGCAGGATATGCTTAAACTATACTGCTGCTGCTTGATGCAGTGACTAAAAGTGTTATCTTCACAGAAGCAGACTTGGATAACCTCACTGGCCCCTTCAGTCACTTAATCTTTGTCTATCCTCACCTCTTATGTGGGAGGTGAATGTCCTAAGACAATGCTTTGAAGGTTACATTGTGAGAAATGAGCAGAGGAGTTTCTGCCTTGTAAATACTCTATTTTAGTAAGTGTAGGTATTAAAACTCAAATGGAACCCACTTGCTTAACCTCTAAGGATGAAGGTGGGCTGAATGAGGCTAAGACAGGGAGATAGGGAGATGGAAATAAGGAGTGAAATAAGGTGCCTGTGTATGTGGGAAGCGGCAAAATTGCAAAAGTAATTCTCAGGGAACACTAGAGCAGTATTTGCGCATGTTCTAAACACTAAGCATATCAACAGTGCCAGTGATGTAGTCAGTTTCTGATGAACTGAATGAGCTATGCCATGCTGTGTCATTAAAAGCACGTCAATATCAATGATGAAAAAGTGTTCTAAAAGTGTGTGTGTGTGTGTGTGTGTGTGTGTGTGTGTGTGCACGCACGCATGCACATTGGGTCCCAGCATTCTTTTCTCATTACTACACACACATATTCCATCTGGTAAGCTTTTTAAGAAATCCTGACAGACCATGTCCTCTGAAATCTCACTTGCTTCCTTCTTGCTTTGTCCTCAGTGGCAAAAACAGTCCTCCTGGCATTTGTTCCTCTCCTTGCTCACCAATATAAGTCATAGTTTTAAAGTTATTTTTTCCTTCAGAAAACTTCATTTATCAAAATTGTACCAAAAGTTCCCTTTGTTAGTTTTCAGAACACACCCATCCCCAGATGGTTATGCTTGTGTTGCTCATCATCTGGAAGCAAGACTAGGCTGAAAACTTCTTGCAGTCGTGTACTGTATTTTATTTATTGTATTCATGCCTCCTACAAATACCATCAACATGCTTTAAGTGAGTAACTGGGTTATTAAGTTTCTGAAACACTAGAGTTAAGAACAATGGGAATACTTACTTTGCTAGAATACTTACTTTGCTGTAGAAGAGTATGGAATTCGGGAACTGCTTGTCCTCAGCCTTGAGTTGGTTGCAAATGAAGAAGTAGGACTGTTCACAAACTAACCTGTGTGAAAAGCATTTGAAGCCAATGTCCTTCTCTACACATTCTTCTGTGAGTGAGATAACATCTTCAGAGCACAGCCTAGGAAGAGAAATATTGAGCCAAGCCGGATGGTGTGAAACCCAAGTGAATCCATCTTTTCATGACTCAAGCAAAATTCTCGCTCTTGTTCTGACTAGAGGTCGTAGATCTTCATCAGTCAGTGTTGGTTTCCTGGGGTGAGGGGCATGAAGGAAGCGGGGCTGCACCTGAGTTTGGACACAGGGGTTCTCTCCATGCTCAGTGTGCTTAGTGCATTGTTCACACTGCTGTGGCATTACGCCTAGAAGCCCAGGACCTCACTGCCCAGGGCATAAACGTATCTCTGTGTTGCCACTCACACCTCATGCCCAGCACCTGCCCTGGCTATGCTGCCTGCTTACTTCTCCTCCTGTGAAGGTTTTCCCATCCTGAACACCCTGTTTGAGCCAATTTTTGAAGGGTATCCCTTTCTGTCCCTACCTGGAATTAATACCACATCACACCTCTATAACACACTGAGTTCTATTGTGGCTTCCTCCTCATAGACAAAATGATAAGAAAAATTATTTAGGTTTTCCACTTTTAGATACTCACATTACTCAGAATATTACTCAACAAACACTCGAGGAACTGAATTATTTCTCCGGGTAGCAGATGTGCTCATCAGTGCTATTAACGTCCCCCAAGAAGTAACATTTTTGAAAAGTGGTGATATGTTCCATGAGAACAGTAACCATTTCTGGAAGCTCTCTAATGGTGTTTGTAAATAGGATCACAAGTCCGCATCTTGTACAGCAATTAACCACTAAGAAGAATATATGCAGTGTATTATTTGTTGAAACTGTACTTCCGATTTGATTTGAAACTGTCTCATTGCTATCTGTTTATCAATAAAACTTTGAAAAAAATAAAATGCTTAGAAAAGCCCACATGCACTGCATACCCAGAAATGTAGTTGACAGAACTACCTTTCCTGTCTTCACAATACATTTAGTTTGACTAAAAAAGTTTAAAAAGAATATCATGCTATAAAAAGAGAAATTATGGAACCAGACAAGATAGTGTACTCCTATATTCCCAAAGAGAGAGAGTTAAAGGCCATTTTAGGCAATGTAGTGAGACTGCCTCAAAAAAAAAAAAAAAAAAAAAGGAAGAAGAAAGGTTAACCAGTAATGTTCTTGATCTGATACCTCTACTTTCTTCTCATGAGGTACTACAGATGATCAATAGCCATAGATAAAAAGGGATACCGCTGACAATAATTTATCAAATTGAGAAACTCAAATATTTAAATACACATTTATTAGAACTACTGTAAAGATTAAAAGACACTTCAGTAACCCTGAAAACGTGATAAGGAACCAATCGAGGAAGTGAGATGACTCAGGTTTGGCTTCAGGGGCAGGCCGGGGTTGCACGTTGTGGAATTTCCTCTGACATAATGTGAGGATGAGGGTGCATGTATTTTCTAGTGTTGAGATGCTATAAAAAGCCAGAAGGGCTCTCCGTCCAGCACAGATCCTAAGAGGCAGCAGAGAACAGGAGCTTTGAGCTTCGAACACAAGAATCAGCAGGAAGCCAGAAGAAAGCTCTCCTCCTCCGAGCCAACATGCCTTCTAAGCTTGCAGTGGCCTTCCTGGCAGCCTTCCTTCTCTCCACAGCTCTGTGCGAGGGTAAGCAGCTCTTCTAGCCACAGCGCTCTCTTGTGTCTAAGTGCAGCCCTCACCCAGCAAGGCTGTCCTTCTTGCATGGACAATGAGCATCAGGAGGAGAAAATTATCTCTGCAGCTATTTAGTGTTAAGTTTTATTTTCTTACAAAAGGAAAAAATTTGATCAATGTAAACATTCAGTTCTTATAATTGTGTGTGTGTGTGTGTGTGTGTGTGTAATTTGCATGATATCTCAGTGAGGGCCACAATTACCCAAATTATTTATTTGTATTGAGCAAGATAACTCAGAATTTAACTCAATTTACTGAGTACTTTATTGAGAAATTTCAGGTAACTATCAATTCCTGTTTCACTGAAGGATACTTTGATTATAAGATTTCTTTTCCTGTTATAATGACTATTGGATTTATGCTTACAGCATGTGGTTTTTGTATTTTTGCCTTTAAGCACTGAGAGTTTTACAGACACATGACATCTCTGTGCATCTAATTTATATTTTCCATTAATTCTTTCTTGAAGTAATTTGCATATTGTGAATATTTGCTTGCCTACAAAAATTAACATTCTGGTATTGTAGAGGATTATGTGATATTGAATGAAAGACAGAGGACAATGAGAATATCTAAATTAAATAGCACAAAAAAACTCAAACTCCATATAGAATGCCATTCTATGTTCTCAGTGATACTTCTTTTAGAGTAAAGAGAAAAAGTGACTTGAACTACTATAGGAAAATATCTGCCCTTCAGCGTTAGCAATGGGCTCACTGGAAATGTGAGCCTTTCTCCCGTCTCCAGAGAAGAGGGCTTACAATCAGGGATGCAAGAAGGAGTCCTTAGCAGAGCTATACCTGTTGGTGGAGTCAATCCTTAATCTTGACTTTGTCTTTTCTTCCCACAGTTATGGTTGTGACAAAGCTTACTACGGAGCTTCGATGTCAGTGCATCAAGACTCATCCCACACCGTTCTCCCCCAAATTTATCAGAGAATTGAAAGTGATTGAGAGTGGGCCACTCTGTGACAGGACAGAAATCATGTAAGTGCTCCCAAAATGCTTAGAATATTTGCTGTAGGAAATTTAGGATGGATCAAATTGCAGGCATCCAGGGCAGCTGTAAGCACGAGAGGAGAGCAGCAAGCAGGGCAGGGCAGCTATGCTTGCCTAGGTGACTCTCAGTGCGGTGTCGCCCATACCTAGTAGCTAACGGGTGCTTTGGACTTAGGTTTTCACCACACTTAAGGAACTGTGATAAGAAAAGTAATCCCTGATATTGATGGGAACTGTGCCTCTCATTTCAGTGTGACACTCAGTGACAAAAGACAGCTCTGCCTGGATCCCAAGAAAAAGTGGGTGCAACAGATTGTGAACATATTCTTGAAGAGGTAAGTTGTTGCTTTTAAACTGAACACCTTTGTTTATTATGATGTGTAGTCTAAAATTCGCCTTATGCATTTTCTGATGCTGCTAGGAATCTCTCTTAATTACAAAGGAAAACTGGCAGTGATAGTGAATTTGTCTGAATTCGCTGTACTTGTGCTCTGCCTAGCGGAGCTCAGCTTGTGCCTGAGTCCTGTATCATTGTTAAATTCCCTTTGATTCCCGAAAACATCCTGCATTAGATGGCAACTTACCTGGTCTCCTCATTTACAATGGGCATGACAGAGCATTTCTGACATATGAATGTCTAAGACCACATTCATTCATAAAAGAAATAGATTTTCAGGAACTCAGCCTTCCTCCTTATTTGAACAGTGTTAATATTCAAATTTTAAATTCTATTTTATCTATTTTCAGGGCTGAGAACAAAGATTCTTGAAAGAAAATGCACTCTCCATGACCATCAAGAAACTCTCAGTGAAGACACCATGGACAAACAAACAAATCTACTTCATTTCTTCCTATATTGCATGGATCTGCTGTGAGGTTGCCAGCTAAAACACTGGATGCCCAACTGAGTTCAAATTTCAGAAGACAGTGAATAGTTTTTTCACTGTACCATGCAATATCTAGGGCACGCATATATTTGAAGTTATGCATTTTAATCTATGAAAAATTGTATATCTTATTTTAACTATAAGGGTCTTTTAGATATTGCATGGGACATTGCAAAAAGGGTGAAATTGAGATCAAGGGCTAGGAGAATAGGTGGCCTTCCACTACAGGAATTGGTCATTAGAAAAGTGATGCATGAAGCATTAAATGATAGAACAGCAATGTTTTCTGTAAATTTAAATTTAGCTAGAAAATCCTGACTATTATGAGTTAAATCTGCCACCCTAGTTCTGCTGGCCAGGACCCTGGTGACCTGCCCATCTGCAGGGAGTTCTCTTCACTCCTCATCCGAGGAAGAAGTGTCCTCCACTGTCCTTCCTCACTGGGTGAGATGGGGACATATGGGAGCACTTTAAATTTTTTCGTGATCAAGTAAATTATCCTGAAGTGTAACTATTCATCTATTTATTATTTATGTATTTATTTAATCATCCAATACTGTAACATCTCTGCATGAATTTGAAAAAGTGGAGAAAAAAAGAAACATAGTTGATAGGGTAATGTGATGTCATAGTAAGTTATTATTTATTTTAGATATTGAATGATATACTCAAGGATTTTTGATCAGGCTATCCAAATTTTTTAAAAAATACAAATAAAAGGACAACTAGTTAAATTTTTATTTTAATTTAAAAATAATATTGTCGTGTGAGTACATTGTTTATCTGAATTTTTAGTTGTGCCAACCATCAGTTTTGATATCCTCACACTTGTCTTTTTAACTTAAAAATACTTTTATGTTTTCATAAAGATATTCTCTACTGCTTTTGATACCATGGAAATGATAATGTAAATATAAAATGTTTAAAATATAATATACTGTCGAAGTCATCAGGTCTTTGTCTTTCTTTTATAGATTAAATCTGTTAAGAATATTTTATATTAAAACCACAATTTGATTTTAGAAATAATAAATACTTATCCCTTAAAATTTTACATGTGGTGTTGGACATTATAAAACTTAATTGTACCTTGGCACCACAAGCCCTGCGGGCCCTTTCCCTGGGTGTGCTCAGCCAGTGACCAAGTCAGGGCGTGGTTGCACATGCTTGTAATCCTCGGGCTGGGGAGGCTGAAAACAGGAGGATCACTACAAGTTTGAGCTGATAATGAGACCCTGTACTCACTCACACACACACACACACACACACACACACACACACACATGCACACACACACATGCACACACACAAAAAAAAACCCTAAAAAAATTGTAGAAAAACGGATCTTCTTTACAACAATGGCTTAAAAACAGTAGTTACTTCCATAGCATGCTGAAATTATCTCAGTGTTCCACTGTATTTCATTTCACAAATAAAGACGACCTAAGATTTTCAATCAACTGGTTTATATGTCTGAATGTTTAAGCATAGCTGGTCACTCAGTTAAAGAAGGAAGATAGTACACTTTATAAGGTGCTCATCAGTCATAGAGAATAAAAGTGAAGCAGATGAAGAAAAGGGCTTAAAATATGATCAAAGACCAAACATATTTGAAACAAAAATTTGGAATTTAAAAGTATAATAATTAAATAATGCAGCAAATGAATTTCATAATGAACGAGGCCTTCCTTCTAGACTTCACATGTGTGATCATGGTAAAAAGACTTTGCAATTGGAAGATGATCCTGGGTTGTCTCTGCTGACCCAGTGTAATTGTGTTTTTTGGAGGCTCAGAAACAGACTGGATGGAATGATGGAAGGGAGGGCTGAAGTGCTGCAAAGAAAGCCTGAGTCAGGCTGGATAGGTTATCCCAGAGGCCTCAAGGTAAAGCAAGGGTCTCTGTCCTAATTCCCTCAGGAAGGACTCAAAAAGCACACTTAACCCTTCAAGTTAGGGCTTCTGCCCTACAGGATTGTGAGATAGTCCTTCTGGATTCCTAAACACAGGGAGAATGATGTGGTGGTGCTCTAGCAGCATTAGGAGGCTAACACGATTGACAGCTGTCAATTCAAACTGCTAATAAATACTTTATACTCATAATCTCACTATCTTTCTTAAATAATAAGAAAAGCAATAGAGAAGCAGGGAGCAATTCATAGAGAGGGTTTAAATATGTGGCTTTCAAAATTAGCAAAATTTATAAATATATAAAAATTGAAAATTCAAGGAGAAATTCTGATGAATATTACATTTTGAAACTTAACTCAGTGGAACAAATACTTACACTATTATCTTTCCAAATCTAACTTAAAATTTTTAAATAAGCTGTAAAATGTTGTGACCATTTAAGAGATATCAATTAATTCTCTATTGAGAGAAGATAAGGCCAGGCAATTTGCCATATGTCATTCACAATAGCACATGAAAATTATTTTTAAAACAATATTAGATGAAAATGTTTAAAAATCATAACCTTTCACAGTTGAGAAATGCAATGCTGTTTTAATAGTTGAAGATAAATTAACAAAATTATGACAATAAGAGACAGGGAGAAAGCACTTAATGATCATTGCAGATTCTAATATAACTTGAGATATGAATTAATATCCATTAATATTTTAAAAAGAAAAACTTTAGTACTGAGGAAAAATTTAAACCATATAACTGATTAAATTAAAAACTGATGGCAGATTAATATTTAATGGTAAATGTTAAAAATCATAAGATTTAAGATTAGGACAAGCTAAGGACTGTATTCTCACTACTTCTACTTGACATTTATTAAAGTTCTGCACAATAAGGGGAGAAGAGAGTGAAGATTTTAATTAAATTCTAATGAGTAGAAAGACACAGGATAAGTCATTTATTACTAGTATGATTGTCAAGATAAAACTTAAAGATAAGTGCTTGGATTTAAATAATCAAACTGAGCATAATTATCTGTATACTAGGAGCAAGCAGTTAAAAATATCCTGTATAAATTTGCATCACCATCTAAATCAGTATGGAAGAAATTTAACAATTCCATGTAAAGACTTTATGAAAAAACTTATGCTTTATTGAAATACATCAAGAGATAATATTGTAAAAGAGGTGCTACTTCTTCCCCAATTAATCTATGATTCTAATGTAATTTTTAATAAATCCCTAACATTTATATGTACAAGTTGTCAAGATGATTTTTAAAATGTTTTAAAGTAAGAGACCCAAGGATATCTGAGACATATTTGAAAAAAGTACAAAATACTCTAGTAGATACTGAGGCCATTAAGGCCCTGGAGCCTCAGTTGTGTTTGCGATAGTAGCAGTTATTGTACTGGATACAAAGAATTGGATGAAGTGGCTCATTGTACTGATACCTAATCAATTGATCTTGTACTGGTAGGGTTTTGAAAGACTTGCAGGAAGACATAGGATCAGGTATTTCATTAATCAGCTTTATGTAGTCTGTTGACCTAAAGTCCCAAAGGGTTACCCATTCCTTTCATCTTAGAGAACATGCTGTAAGACCTTTTGATTGAGAAGAGAGCCCTCTCTTGTTTTCTAACCAGTTGGTCCCAATTGCAACCTACTGTTCCTATACATTTAGCTCTTCATAGTCATCTGGGTATTGTAGTTGCTACTCTCCTTGTAGGTTGCTACCACCTATGATATGGAGCAAAGCCCACTTTCTTTTCCAATTTCAAATGCATATTAACTCATCAGTGTTCACTGCAACAGAATTAACAAAAGATCTACAAATGGTGCACTAGCAGGAATCAACTGGAACTCAACTCTTGTATTGATTATTCAGAAACATGTTAATCACTTCATGATCTTGGACCCAGTTATGGAGCTCTTATTTTTCTTCAGAGTTTTGTCTAAATTTCATTTTATTATTTTCCTCTTTCAATTTAAGAGATCTTGTTCCAGCCTCCTCTGCAGTTTCTCATCCTGTGAATCTCACAGACAAATGGGTAAAGGTGATGACAAATGAATAGTATCAATAAAATAATAGAAAAGCTTCAGGGCTATTTGAAAGCATATCACTAAGGGTTATCTAACATAACCAGCATAGAGTCCTATAAGACAATCAAAGCTAGATTGGAAATGATAAGTTGGAGTCAACCACACAAAGGGAAGAGGCATATGCAAGTGTGTAGGGAGGAGTAGTCTAGACAGTAAGAGGGACATCATCTATAGATAAGACGATGATGTGATTGGAGAAGTGAGAGAATTTCAGCAATATGTCTGGAATTTGGTATGAAACAGAACCTTTTTTTAAGGGTTTAGAATTAGAACTGAAAACTTTTAGTGTATTCCAACCAGTTTCATTTCAAATTATGAGCACTTTATGTTACTTTTGTTCTGAAACTCTTTCCAAAAGGAAGTGGAAAGCCACAAAAACAACCTAAATGTCTAATCTTAGAAAAATGTTAGTGTCAACTGAAAATTGAATCAATGAATTAATTCACAACCTTATGTTCAGGCATAGCGTTGCACATCTATAATCCAACACTTGGAGGCTGAGGTGGGAAAAACACTAAACTCAGGGTCAGGAAGTGCTACATAGTGAATTCAAGACCAGCCTAAATTATATAGTGAGATCCTGTCTCAGAATACCAAAGCAAACAAACAAGCAAACCAAAAACAAACTATTGCCTCTTCAATCTAATCAATATCACATCCTGAAAGTAAGTTGGTTTTTTTTTTTTTTTTTGTTTTTTATTTTTTATTTTATTTTTTTGGTGGAACCAGGGATTGAACTCAGGCCCTTGAGCTTGCCAGGGAAGCACTTATTGCACTGCACCATCTCCCTGGCCTTTTTTTTGTTGTTGTTTTTTAAATCACCACAGCCAGGCATGGTAGTGCACAGCAGTAGCCTCAGAACTTGGGAGGCTGAGGCAAGATAATTACTGTGAGTCTGAGGCCAACCTGGGTTACATAGTGAGCTCAAGGCCAACATGAACTATATTGTTTGACTTTGTCTTAGACAAACAGACATAAAAGACTCCAATTTGAATTTTAGTAAAGAATAGTTTTAAAAATTCACTTCCCAATTTCCTTTTATCACCTTTAAAAATGCCAAGTGATTTTCTTCATTCACATGTCTATATTTTCACTGACTGTAAATAACAAAATATTTCATCAAAAAGACAAGTACACAGATGAAAGTAGAATTTCATCATTATATAATTGTAAATAATCCAAGAAGGAAAAATGAAAAAGGAAAAGAGATTAGTAGACCATGAGACAGAGAAAAGGCAATTTGTTGAATTGAAAAACTTGGCTTCAATGGTACTACTAAAGTTGAGTGTAAATGGATTATATTTATGTAGACACAGACTTAAACACAAATGTAAACATGAATGCTATTACCACAGACCTTTGATCCACTTGTATGACCTTCAAATTACAAATCTAATCTTCCTAAGCAGAAGCATTAACATAAATGTATAAACACATAGACTGAAAGATCTGAAGAGATAATAATGAAGTGTTTATCTTAAATTTTCATTAAATATAAAATACCATAATACATGTATTGCACATACAACATAGAAAATCAAGTAATTGTGAAAATTGCTATGTTTTAGATAGATATACATTCAGAAAGAGATCAATTAGTTTTCACTACCCAAACAAAATAGTCTCAAGATTTTGGTAAGTAAATGTTTTAGTACAAAACAGTGGTACCTTCATGAACTTAATTCTTCCCATGATTGTGGTTGCAGAATTCATTCTACAATCCGGTTGTAACCAAATTGCAAACACATGCCTTAACCCTAACTTTAACCCTGACCCTAACACTAACCCTAAATTACTGAGCAATGGTTGTAATATGTGCCTATCTACGATGCTTATAATTTGTTGCAAACAAAATTGCTTATAATTTGTTG